ATTATTTTATATATTATTTTATATATTATTTTATATATTATTTTATATATTATTTTATATATTATTTTATATATTATTTTATATATTATATTATGTAACTATAAACGTTCCAAATGAGGTTACAGCAGATCAGTATGGTACAGACAGAAATTAAAAACTATACATACTGATCAGTACTGATCAGCTACGTATAATTCCTAATCCTAACGCTAATATATATAACACCGGATCAATATATATTCTAAAATTCGGCCTGTACCATACTGATCTGCCAAATACCTGTTCCAAATTGCTCAAGGAAAAAAGTATGCATTTAATACATTGGATTCATGTCCCAATAGTCTTAGATACCACTTACCACTGACTTATAATGTTTTTGACGTATTCATCATGTTTTTGTTTTGATTACTTACTTCCTATGCTTTTAAATCTAACTTTTATTGGCAAATCGGAGTTTAGGATTTCCATATTAAAAACATTTTTCCCATAACAATATGGTTATGTGGGACCAGTCAAATAAATTAAAATCTTTTTGACTATACTTAAAATGGGTATGAAAAATATTCAATATTCATTTCATAATTCCCGGTCTAGTTCGTTCTTTAATTACCCAGTTTTATGTTTACATGTGAATGGCGTACCATCTTCCAAGGTTACGTTACTTTGTATGCTCTCAAACTAAAAAAGTGATTGTATCACCATTTTTATTCTAAAAAACACATCCACAGATTACAAGTTTCAAAAGTATAAATCGTATTGATACATGCATATTTAGCGAGAACAAAAAGGGGTTTTTTCATTATAATTTTCCGACCCGACTATAGTAGCGACATTAAGATACCTATGTATGTTATTGTGAGTAGAGTATTACTGTAAATGTATATATATATTAAAAATACAAAAATCATTCGACTTATGCTTATATATTAAATGCTGTATACAAAAATTATTCGATATGCTTACGTGCAGTACAACAATAAAGTCAAAAAATGTTTGAAGTTTTCATTATTACTGTATTAATTAGATTCATTCAGTAACGATGTTTTAATACGTATACTTTATTTAGCCTTAACACTCCATTTTCTAATAGTTTACTAAAATAGTAATTGCATTTCTATAGTTTCGGGTTGAACATATTATATGGGTAATTATTTTTTTTTTGAACCTGGATCAATTTCGATATGACATAAATAATAACATTTTGGTCTGGATTCAAAAACAATTACCCATATTGTAAACGTAGTAACGGTACGTAAGCAATGTTACACATTTATAGTCTTTATTTATATTTAAAGTTTTATATACTGTAGTTTTACTGTAGTTGTACTGTATATAGTTATGCATCTCATTGATCAATCGATTAATAATCGAAAAAAAGTTTTTTTTCAAGAATGATTCTTTTTACAAATTTTTTTTTTTCTCTTTCTAAAAAAAATTTTTTAAAAAATCCGCTTTTGTTTTAATCTGATTTTTTTTTTTTTTCAAAAAAAAAAAAAAATTCTTTGTTCTTTCAAAGATCTTTCAAAAAATAATAGAAACCTTTTCTTAAAAAACGTTCTTTTTCTAAAAATGATCAGAAAAAAGATCTTTTCCTAAAAATGATCATTAAAAACAAGATCTTTTTTAAAAAAAGATCATTAAAAACAAGATCTTTTTTTAAAAAAGATATATTTTCACGAATCTGCTTTTGTTATCACACGTGATCACTCCGCGACTGTTAATTTCATCATAAAAATTTTAAGGCCCTAGCGTCACCATCTAAAAAAAATTTCGCTGTTAAGTTAGTGTTAGGTTTTGCTATTAAGTTAGACTAGAAAGAACTTAATCGCAAGAAACCTTTTTATTAATGCGCAGAAAGCAGTTTCATAAGTTTTTTTGGTTTGATTTCTCGCGGTGTACCTAATCTTGAAATCTGATTGGCCTGCGAAATTTTTTAGAGTGGTGACGCTATGGTGGTGTGAAGATCGAGATTGGTAGTATAGCACCAAAAAAAATTTTTTGCTATATAGTTGCATAAACATTTTAAATCTTCCGTTACGTTATACAAATTTAAATTTTTTTATTGATCAATCGTGAAATTTTTGTGGTTATGCTGAGGTGCAAAAATTATTATCTTTAGCAATGATTATTTCATTTATTATCTTAGCAAAAAAAATTTCATGCACATACTCAGAGTGAAAGTAATGCTGCAAAAATTTTGGCTGTAGATTGGTCATGTCCAAGGAGCCTCATTTTCTGCTGCGACAGACCCCCAAATCCTGCCTGCTTTACAAATCGGTTTATGCAAATTATGCGAATCAAGTAAAATCATGCGAAGAGTTGCGACTAGAGTTTTATTTTTTATATCTTAAACCCAATTAAACCCGATTTTAACATATTAAAAATAACACTGGTTCCAAACTATAGATGCGACTAGAAGTGTGAATGCTTGCCGTAATTATAATGTGCTATCTGCTATGGCAAAAAATGTCCGTAACTCATTATAGTTACAGCAAGCTACGGTATTACATTCACACCTCTAGTTGCGACCACCTATCTCTAAATTTTTACGTGCTCGTGTTAATTTATTATCTACTTTTCCGAATTCTCCCGATTCCAATACGACTTCCAATAAAAATTACAATTACAATTTTATGCGCAGATTATGCTCTCTTAATTATGCGAAATTAGCCCCAATATGCCAATATGCTATCGCATACGTATGTTTTTGCGATATAATCTGATTTATGCGCAGATTATGCTATCGCGAATCGGCGGTATCCCTAGTCCAAAAAATTTTGAGTTTCGTGTAACCAGCGCACCTAAGCTAATATTATGATTAGAGCAATTTTACTTAGCACACATCGGTTAACAGGTTTATCAGTAAAATTAAGTTCGGAAGCTTGGATTACACTAAATCCCAAAATTTTTTGGATATGATTAATCTACTAAACCTTCAACAAAATTATTTTGCACTTTTAGTTTCAGTAATACTGTACTACTGAATTTTCATGATTTTTCTGGATGCTTGCTGATTTGGCTCGTAGATCACGGTATACCATCAAATTTTTGCATAAATTTATATACTAAAAAATTAGTTAATGCCCTTTAAGACCCTAAATAAAAATTAAAATATTGGTATAAATGTAGGCCATAACCCTAACCTTATAGCAAAAGCCTAATTCGAACATACACATGTCAATGTGTAAGATTTTTTATACCGGTGATTCGACCGGTTCATCACTTCACCGACACTTATTTCGTAGATATAACATTTCATCGACAACAATTCACCGACATGTTATTTCACCGACATTTATTTTCCATTTCACCAACAAAATAATTCTGGTCATTGTCGTTAGGATCAGGTTAGGATCAGGTTAGGAATTAGAGTTCTGGTCATTGTCGTTAGAGTTAAGGAGAGTGGAATTTATAAAAAAAAAATTTGTCTATGAAATAAGCTTCGGTGAAATAAAACTTGTCGGTGAAATAAATAAACATGTCGGCGAATTTTTGTCGATGAAATGTTGTGTCTACGAAATGAATCCGTGATAGACAATTTTACCATAGAGCAGGCGAATAGAAGGAAATAAACGTATCACAAATTTGAAAGCGTTTTACATAAGTCTTCATACGCTCTTGATCACGTTCTTGATCAAGTTCTTGATCACACACTCTTGATCGCGTTTTGATCACGTTCTTGATCAAGTTCTTGATCACACACTCTTGATCGCGTTCTTGATCGCGTTTTGATCACGTTCTTGATCACACTCTTGATCGCGTTCTTGATCACGTTCTTGATCACACTCTTTATTATATTCTTGATCACACTCTTTATTATATTCTTGATCACACTCTTTATTATATTCTTGATCACGTTCTTGATTACACTCTTGATCGCGTTCATCATGTTCTTGATCACACTCTTTATTATATTCTTGATCACGCTTTTGATATTACCGGTGTTATGACACACCAGCTCTTGATCTTGATTCCCCAATCCATTTCACTCCTATTATATTCCATGAGTGCCAATATAGTTAGTAAAAATAGATCTCCAACACCTTATCGTATATTCAAGATTTAACTTTCATATTATCAATTTAACAATGCTATATGCGAAATTGATGGTGAATTGGTGAAA